AACGATAAAATCTGTCCATTTTTCTTTTTTTTTTTTTTTCTTAATCTTGATTTTTCTACTTTCTAGATAATATTCAATATTTAGGTAGAATTTTATTCGATCGTTACGTCCAATTGCTTTTCTTTATATACAATAGTATCTATTCTGATTGGTTTACATGAAAATGATTTTGTCGATTTGATTGGTTGTTTCACCGATGCGATACGTCTATTCGATGAAGACGATTAGTAGAGAAAAATATAGATACAAGAAAAAAAATATGATATTATTTCGATAATAATCATAGAATAAATTATTGTGAAGTTTTTAAAGTTTGTTGTTTTTGTTTTTTTTTATATATATATATATATATTAATTATTAATTCAATAAAATAATTTACATTATGTGTATTGAATAAGGTAGTAACACTATTACAAATGGAGGATAGTGCGTATAACTAAATACTATCATCTTTGTGAACAATGTTGCATTTATATGAATGAAATCATAACCTAAAATCAAATTATTATATTATTGTAATAATATTATTGTGTGTGATATTGAGAAAAGGAAAAGAAGTATTGACTAAACGTATATTAAAATACCAGAAAGATGAATTTAAAAGCACTATTTAATTTTAATACATCTTTATATATACGTAGGCAAAATATATTAAACAGTAGATATTTTACTTCAAAAACAGAGAATGATATTATCGTTGACGGTAAAAAATCCATTTATGAAATCGCAGAAGAGACGCCTATTTATGAGCACGATCAACAAGAAAAGATTAATGAAATTGAAAAAAAAAGGAATAAGTCGAGACTTAATCCGCATCATAGAAATATATTATTTGGACAACGTCCTTACAACGAATCTATTGAATGGTTTCATAATACTGTGAAATATAAGAAACGTATGTTAGGTAGGTATGGTATGAAAGCAGTAGAAGTACCAGCAGGATTTGCTTGGCCAACGCCAGAAGAAGTTGAAGATATGAAGGAATATGAAAGAGTTGCTTATCCATATAGTATTCAAGAGGAATGGGCTAGGATAGAAGAGAAAAAAAGACAAAAGGCAGAAGCTATAAAGGCTAGGTATAAAATTTTTATAATTGTATACATTTGTCATATATATATGTATGTGTATATATAAAAGACTTAGTAGCTTCCTACGTATTGACTGTTCTTTTTGGCAATAATCTACATCAATCTCTTACAAAATTTTTTTAGAGAAAATGATATATCTCAAAAAATGGCTAAACTGGGCAAATGGATAAACGATTTGAATACAAGACTTGCCAAGAAAGAAGCAGATATATTAGAAGCAAAGAAACATAAAGAACGTTTAATAGAAGAAGTTAGGTATCAGCTTGGATTTGATGTACCTATACATGATGAGAAATTTAAAGCAGCAATGGCAGAAAAAGAGAAGGAAGAGAAAAAGAAATTGAAAGAGGCTAAAAAGAAATTAAAGGAAGAAAAGATGTTAGTTAAATTGAACAAACTTCCGCAAACCAATGAAAACGCAACTACTGTACCATCTTCGGATGAGCCAATGAAATAAACCATGCTATATAATTATTGTATAGAATATAACATTAATGTAATGTACATAGATACAAAATCATTGTTTTTTTCTTTTTTTTTTTTATGTAATTTAATAAAGTATAAAAATTGTTTACATGGATATAAATATCTGCAGTGAAAAAAGTTGAATTTAAATGTAGAAAAGAGTAACATATTAAGAATAGATTCATTATGCTGAATCTTGATTGGCCAATTCTTATATCTTCGCTAATACTGACCAATCAGAATCTCAAAATTTTATATCATTACTTTTATGTTTGGAAATTCATTATATACAGATACATAGACGTATCATTCGTTAATATTTCTTAATAAGATTAAATAAATAAACATATTATTTTATTTATATAGAGAACATTTACATCAAGGTCAGATCATAGAAATGTCGCTTTTTTAATGAAAGGATAAAAAATAAATCGAACTTGATCGAATAATTAGTTAAATATTTATATTTATTTTTCTATGTAGAAATTTTTCGACAATCAATAATAGATATATTATTACTTCAAATAATTATTTGATAATTGATTTGAAGGTCTAAAAGTTCTGTTAGAAAAAGGTACATCATGATTGGTGGATTTTTTCTCTCGATATTTGTACTATCGATGTCAGTGTCACAGGGACGTACTAAGTTGAAGTTAATTATGTTAGTTTTTATCCGATCCATAAAATATACGTTTGCGATGGTGGAATTGTTACTTTATAAATAATATATATTTTGATAAACACATTGTATTTTTAGAAGATTTATGTCGTATAGATAAATCCAATGAATTTTGAAGAAGAGATAATATCAATGCGAATTGATTAACGTTGTTCGAAAGAAGAGGTTAAATTGATTGACATTAAGCTGTCATTGTTTACCGATTTCTCCTAGTGTTTTTATTTATTCACAATTTTATTAACGATATTGTGGTGACTAAAGCGTTTATATTATTTCAATATACTTTTATTTTTTAACGATGAATGCTGTTAATGTCCCGTTATATGATTTTTATGAAAGTAAATAACGTCTTATCAGTTGAGCGATAAAATCGGTAGACATATATTATACTCATTTTATATTTGCTCAAATAATGATTTATAATAGTTTGCAATATAGCCGCATTTATTATTTTCAGTATGAAAGCGTATAAGTTACAAAAATATGTGAAATACTGTACATCATATAAAAGCAATGGCTTCAATCTGTAGACGATGGAGATTATGGATATTACCAGTTTTGACTTGCTTGTATGCTCTCTTAATTGTTATATTAGTACCGCTTTTAATAGCTAATTCTATTAAGGATGATTTAAATAAACAAAAACAAGGTGCATTGGTGGGTGGAGCGTTTGTATTATTGGCATTGCCTATCGCTTTTTACGAAATCGTCCAACATATGATATATTACACTCAACCTAGGTTACAAAAATATATCATTAGGTATATTATGTTATTTTGTGTATGTGTATATATATATATACATATATCTTTTTTATATTATAATTATTTAACAAATATTATCATTTTGTTTAGAATATTATGGATGGTACCTATTTATGCGGTAAATGCTGTGAGTATATTCTAAAATAATCTTGAAATTATATGTATTATATATTATTTTTATGATTTATTCGATTGACGTTATAGTGGTTGGGACTTGTATATCCTGAAGGCAGTATATACGTCGATAGTATAAGAGAGTGTTACGAGGCATACGTGATATATAATTTCATGATGTATCTGTTGGCCTATCTAAATGCAGATCATCAATTAGAACACAGATTGGAGATGTCTCCTCAGGTACATCATATGTTTCCTTTATGCTGTCTTCCTGATTGGGAAATGGGACGAGAATTTGTACATATGTGCAAACACGGTATTTTACAATACACAGCAGTTAGGCCTATATCAACTTTAGTATCTTTGTAAGTATTATTAAATTAATATAACAATGATATTTTTCTATATAAATAGCTCGCATTGTCATAAAACAGTTCATATAATTTCTCATATATATATATATATATATATATATATATTTTATATTATTATATCTTTCTAGTATATGCGAATTAAATGGAGTATATGGAGAAGGAGAATTTAGAGCAGATATTGCTTTTCCATACATGATCGCTCTAAATAATTTGTCCCAATTTATTGCAATGTATTGCTTAGTTCTTTTCTATCGTGCTAATTCGGAAGCTCTAAAACCAATGAAACCAATTGGGAAGTTTTTGTGTATTAAAGCAGTCGTTTTCTTTTCGTTTTTGTAAGTTTTCTCATGCTAAATCTTTTACAATGACAAAAGAAAGAAAGAAAGAAAGAGAATTAATTATGCAATCACATTAATTCCATTCACTTTTTCTTACAGTCAAGGATTTATAATCGCTTTGTTGGTATACTTTAACGTAATATCAAGTATATTTAACACGGAAAACACACATCTTATAAGAAATATATCTTCCAAATTACAAGATTTCTTAATTTGTATTGAAATGTTCTTAGCTGCGATAGCACATCATTACAGTTTTACGTATAAACCATTTGTAAATTTAGCACAGAGTCAAGCTTGGTGGGACGCATTTAGGTATGTATCAATTCTCGATTATAATTAATTATATCAAATTTATATTAAAATTATATAAATGTATAGTTAATCAATGGATTAAATAGAAGTTATATATATATGGATTTTTATGTAGGGCGATGTGGGATGTTTCCGATGTACATAACGATATTAAAGAACACTTAGGAGTTGTTGGATCATCCCTAAGTCGCAGAATTAGAGGACGCAGTGCTTATCAACAAGCATGGGGAAGTGCAACAGAACGTACGTCGCTTCTTCCTGAAGCAGCAGCAGTAATACCTAGAAGCGCACCTGCTTGTTCGTTTTCTAGTTATAATACAGCTGAAAATGGACAGAATAATAATCCCGGTGATAGTTTTTCTGTATCAACTGACATAAATACCGATACGCAGCATAGTACTAATAACATAAGTACATAGTTACGATGTCGAAATCATACGTATGTGAGTAAGAACATTTAACTGGACATAATATCATACTTTCTTTACACGAATTAACGTTATATATCATTTAAATGAAAGAAAGAAGAAAGAAAAAGAAAAAAAAAATACACGATTGTACAAATTCTCATAAGTATAACAACAACAACAACAACAACAACAATAATAATAATAATAATAATTATAATTATAATTATAATAATAATAGTCTACCTTTTTTTAAGGTATTTGAGAACAAGGATTTGATAAAACAACAATAATATAAATGATGTCAACTTAGCTTTCAGTATATTTTAATTTAATAGAATTGATAAATTTTATGTTACCATTGATATTGCCAAATATTGTCTGTATGCATATTAGTTCCTTATATAGAACAAATTTCATTTAGAATTTACTTGAATGTGTATACGCGCACGGTGTACGATCACATATGTATATACATGATATATTACAATGCTTTTTTATTATTGCTTTAAGAAATATGTGATATTTTTCTTTTGTAAATTCTTTTTCATTTCTATAGTAAATATAGAAAATAAAATTTTGGTAATTGAAGGTTCATCTTAAATTAAAATTGCTAATATTCTGCGATTAAAGAAACAATATTATTTATTATTTAAAGAGTATATCTTTTTGAGTTTATTATTACATTGAATTGTATTATTAATGAATTAATTATAATTCTGTTATAATATTATAAACTAATTCATATATATTTAATTGATTAATATGCGAATAACGTGTATAGCTGTATATTTAGAATTGTTTAAAAATACGTACTTGTTATTTTTAATGATAATTTTCTTTATTAACATATTTTAGCTTTAAAAAAAATTATTCAGTTTTAAACTTATCTGTATGCGTATATATAAGATTTGAAATATTTTCTTTGTATTTGTCTAACAGATGTGTAGAGTTTTTTATGTTACGAAATTTAAAAATTGGCGCCATTTCGTAACCACGCAACATTGTGATACACATCGTGCGTATATTATATATATATATGTATATATATATATATATATATATATATATATATATATATATTTGTGTTTGTAGCATTGAGGTATTGACGAATAACGTTCTTTACTTGAAGTATTTTATTAAGTTTATCGATTAAAACTTTTCCAGGTTTTAATCAAATACGTCATAATGTGGGAAGATAAAGAAATAAGATTCGATGTATTTTACAAGTAATTATTTTATCAGAATAATAATTTCGTAAAACTGTAGCACGTTTGAAAAATATTTTCTTTTTTTGGGCACTTTATTTTTCTTTTTCTTTTTTTTTTTTTTTTTTTTTTTTTTTTTCTTATGAATATAATTATTTAAGTTTTTGATTCTAAATATATGTGTATGTATATATATATATATATATATATATTCATATATAATATTTTAATTTGAGTTTTTAATTGGAGATATTAAATGAAAGAAAATGTGAAAACGAATTTGTATAGAATAATTAATAGTATAATAATTATATCGATTATTTGTCATTTTAAATTTAGTCAGATGCAATTAAGAGTTGGTGAAATTATGGTAGACAAACTCGATATGATAGAAGACACGAAAGGAAATTCTGGCGACAATGGAAGATTAATTGTAACGAATTTACGAATATTATGGCATTCCATATCTTTACCAAGAATTAATTTAAGTATGTTCGAACCGACATAATAAATTCTAGGTTTCTATCAATTTTTTATAAAAAAAGAAAAGAAAAAGAATTTAATTAGTTTTTGTCATTTTCACAGCCATCGGTTTCAATACTTTCGTTACAATAAATTCAAAAACTGTAAGCACAGTAAGTATCCTTCGTTTAGGTTTATAAAAAATATTAAATATTACGTTTAGAAAAATTATCATATATATATATATATATATATATATATATATATATATATATATATTTTAGGTTAAAGGTGGACAAACACAAGCTTTACACATTTTAACATCTTTTCGGAATAGTCAATACGAATTTATATTCACAAATTTAAATTCAATAAGTACTAGACATTATACCTCAGTTATTGGTGTATATAGGTATGAATTCTTTTTTTTTTTTTTTCTTGATCATAAAATAATTCATTTAATAATGACAATAGTAATAATAATAATAAAAAAAATAAATTAATGAATTAATAATTTCTATATATAGAGCTTATACGTCATCAAAAGTTTATCGAGAAATCAAATTAAGAAGTGGTATTGTCAATGAAAATAGATTGACTCTGTTGCCACATGAAAAAGTCCATACAAGTTTGCCGGATGTTTGGAATTTATCTGTTGAACAGGTTTCATATTGTTAACTTTGTTTTTTTTTATTGAATTTTTTAATTTTTTAATTTTTTTTTTTTTTTTTTTTTTTTTTTTTTGAAAATAAAAATAACGCAAATATCGACGATAAATATTTTAGGGAAATATCGGAACTTTCATAGTTACAAATATTCGACTCGTATGGTTTGCAGATATGAATAATCAATTTAATGTATCAATGCCATATCTATCGATTGCTAGCGTAAGTAATCGATGATTTATACGTTTCTATGTATATACATATTTCATGACTTTGTATGTTATTTGTCACGCGTATCTGTATCGCGTTGTTTATGAAGGATGATTCGTTTTTAGGTTACAATTAGAAATTCTAAATTTGGAGCAACATTAGTGGTATTAAGCGACAAGGATAATAATGAATATATTTTAGGATTTCGTATAAATCCAATAGAAAAACTTCATACTCTTCACAAAGAAATTAATATATTAGTAGCAGCGTATAAGAAGTCACCGATCTTCGGCGTAGATTATACTTTTGAATATCAGGTAAAGTTTATTTTATACGATGATATAAAATAAAATATTTTCTTTTCGAGTGTATAAAGGTACGAATTGCAGGGACCGATGGAAGAAGAGATTCATCCAGAACGTTTCAACGAAATACAAGATAATCAGGGTGATATTTCTGATGTTATTGGTTATTATTTTTTCGAAGGAGGTTCGACACAAAGGAAACCTAATTTTTCAAATTACTTGGGATTGGCCATAGAAGATCCTAGAGAAGGAAGTACTTTACAAAATTTATGGGAGCTTGTACCCTCGACGTAATTGATTACTTTAAGTGTTTGTGATAAGAGAATATTTTCTTATATAAATTATATATGACGTATATATATCCTTGTGTATATATATATATATATATATAACAAAGGTAAGATTAACTTACAAATAGTAAAACTAGTACATTAGATTTTATTAAATACAATTTGCAGAAACAAAAAATTCATATATTAATTTTCTTCTTCTGTACATTTTGTTCTCTATTATCGTTCGAAAACGAATCTTTCGATTAAACAGAGAGTAGAATGTGATGTGCGGGGTTTTAGAATATCTAAATTAATATCAAACATAAAGAAGGTAATAATAAAGAGAAGTGTGGTGTAACTAAAAAATGGGATCTAATTAAAATGGAATAAGATATATTACGAATATAAGGCGTGCAATAGTTTTTGATGAGAAAAATTTTATCAAATAATCGACATTAGTTTCATTTCTCTTTTCTCAAAGGCTTAGCTTGGTCTACAATTTAACGGATGAACAATCGGTTGATCGTTTTGATCATCAATTTCTTCATTAGGTTCATTCTCTTCAGGTTGTTCAACCGGAAATCTATAACCCATATTAATCAGCATTAATTCAAATGGATCTCTATTCATACGTATTTGATTTGCAGATGCAGCATCTTCCAAATTTTTAATTTCCCTGTCGTTTATACTGCCATCCTAGAATTTATTTCAATAAAAAAAATTAGTCATTTTTTTTTTTTTTTTAAATCATATAATCCAATTGTAACAGTTATATAAGAAATATTGAATTATTTACTTCTGGTAGTGGGCTCCATAATCTGATAACTGGATCTATGCCACTTGTTGCCAATAGACATGTTGATGGATGTGGCTGAAGACAATTTACAATTCTATCATCACCTCTTAATACACGTATAATATTTGTTGTATTCCGATCCCAAATAAAAAAGGAACCATCGTCCGATCCGGCAACTATATATTGTCCATTGCTTAAATAATATTTAATATAATTTTTTTATTATTATTTATTAAATATGTATATATATATATATATATATATATATATATATATATATATATTATATATATTTATTATTATAAGTGATAATAATTTTCTCACATACTTTCCAAAAAAATTAGCTTCTTTTATGTCTGTTGTAGTGTTACAATGACCACAAAATCTCATTTTATAATCTATAGTATTGCTTCTCCATTCTTTCTCATAGCCTGAGATTCGTGAAAGATCTTGTTCGAAACTATCAATGTCCCTACCTGAAGAATACAAATATTTGATATACAATCAAAATTTATATCTTTTTAAGTAAAAGTCATTGTATAAACAAACCTGAATCAATAGCTTCTTTAATATCCATTTTCAAAGCTTTGCATGCAGAATTGGATGCATATTCAGGAAATTTGCATAAAAAATTTTTAATAACTTTTTCAGCTTCAACTGATCTATTTAGATCAAACAAACATCGTGCTAACCTAAAAAAAAAAAAAAAGAAAAAAATTTGATCTCAGAAATGGAAGAATAATACAAATACTTTTCTTTTTTCTTTTTTTTTTTTTTTTTTACCTAAAGTGTGCCTTTACATGTTGTGGATCAAGAAGCAAAGTCGTCCGACAATCACGTAAAGCAGCATAAGTATCACCATCCCTGTAAATGACATTGTTATTGCGTTTATGGAAATTTTAAAGCTTCAAAAATATTATTTACAGCAATATAGATTTTTTCTTTCCACAGTAATATATAAATTATTGTTTATTAACAATTGTTTATTTACCAAGCGCGTTTCATAAATGCTGCAGCTCTATTAGCAAAAAGTACAGCTGCTGTGGGGCAGTAACTAATAGCTTTATTATATAAATTGATTGCTATAGTATATTTTTGTTGTTCAAAACCTTCATTAGCCTATAATATAAAAATATAATTAGATAAATATGTATAACATTAAATTCACTTATGATATAGTACCAATATATACCTGACGTTTTAATTCTTCGACATGATGAGGCAGAGTTCTGATATTTGTATTAGCAAGATTAACATCACAATTTTCTATACAACCATTTTTTGATTTTGAATCTTTTTCATTCGTCTCTGTTAAAAATAAAAATTGTTGACGAACTTATAAATGACATGAGAGACCTATATTAGATTATGAATAATCAAAAAAAAAAAAAATAAAAAAAATAAAAAAAAATAAAAAAAAAGAGTATAATTACCTGAAATATTTTTAATATTATAACTTTGAAATATTTTTGAATTCTTTGAATTGTTGATATCATATAAATAAATCTGTTCTCCGCCCATATTAACTAGCAATTCATTCCCATCGGCACTAAAGGTCAAATATGTTGCTGTAAGGCTTCTATTACCATCACGCGGACGTGAGTGCAGATGGCCTATTTAATGTTAAAGAATAGTCTCCGTTAGAGAGATCATGTAACAGGCATCAAAAAGGAGGAGTAAGTACAAAGGAGCCGCGTACGCTATCTCTGATCGTACGAACGAACCCGCGATAAAATACTGTGCACAACCCAATGGTACATTATCCTCCGGATCACCTTCGCCGCTTCGAATGAAGCTAAGATGTCTCCTGTCCCAGTCAACGTGAGGAAAAACAATTGGAACCTGTAGATATTATGGAATACATAGAAAATGTTTTCTTTTTTTTTTTTTTTTTCATTCCATTGGAATAATATATAAAATGATAGTAATTATTTAATACTCAAAACCTGAGAATGTTTGATCATTCTGCGATCATACATCCTTATGTAAGCATCGTTAGCCCCAATAGCTACCAATTCTGGTCTCTTAGGATTTATGGAGATACATTTTCCTTCCGCGGATCTTCCCATATGATTTACCAAGTTTATAAGTACGTTAGGCTCATTATTTTCACATGTATGTGGTACACGTATATCATACTGCAGTACCAAACCATCTTCAGCCACGCTCCAAAATAATGAAGGTATACTTCCTATTGTAGCTATACGTTTAACACGTCCTAGATGACAATAGCATGCAAGGATCGGTTCCGTGAGACTAAGATCGTGTACTTGGACTTTACAATCAGCTGCCCCTGATACCAACACATTATTATTTGTCTTTGGCATGAACTAAAAATAAATATAGATTATAATGAGGCCATAACTTAGCTCAGCTTGATAAAGCGGAAGTATCATGTTTTCTGTTACGAATCAAGAAATGGTTTTATAGAACACTAATCATAATGATATTTTTTATAAAATAATAAATATATAGATACCTTTGCAGAAAATATATTTCCACGGTGTCCAGTATGAATAACTAACTTTTTTTCATAACGAAATGGATCCCATAATATAATATTTGTATCATCCGAGGCAGAAGCTAGTACTCTAAAAACATATTTAAAATTGTTTGTTATTATTAGAACAGACAATTTTATTTATTTTATTTTTATTCATTATTAAAACATTAAATTTACAATTGATTTCATTCTATTGAAAAATAAACAAACAATACGTACTTTCCAGTTTCATCCCATTCTAAACAATTAACACAACCAGAATGACCATTCAATTCTTTTTCTAATCCCAATCGTAATACCAAATCTTCAGTAACGTGTAATTTTTGAGAGACCGTATATGCTATGGATTCCTATATAATATATAATATCACATAAATAAAGAATAAAGATGAATTTAATCTACAGAGAGACTGTCATAAAACAATTTGATAAAATATTATAAAACAATGATCATACTTGTATTTCCCTTTGACGGATAAGATTTACAACCGTGTAATCTTTTTCTTGTCTATGCACTGCCATGTTTATCTTATGTACTGTTTCTCTTAATATCTACAATAGTATTATATTAAATTCAGTAACTGAAAATGATAAGAGAATAAAATAAATTAATGTTAATTAATAAATAAAACATTTACACTAGGTATCCATTGAAAGACATTAAAGATACATTTTACAATTGGATTAAATGTTCGTTAAAAAAACATTAATCTACGTATGTTGTATATACAAAAACATAAAGGAATGTTCAATAAAAATTTAATCGCGCATGGATTTATTATAGAGTTATGAAAATAAATAAGAAATTTCAGATGATAATGTATGCATCGATAAGGAAAAAGTTAATCAGAATACGTGAAGGTTGATTAAAACAACTCACCTATTCTCAAGTTGTACGAGACATATCTTAAAAAGTATAAAGAAAGCCATACTAACGCTTCCAATGTTATTTCACACGCATATAATAAGCTTCAAAGTCAGAATATTCCATATTTTCTTTCTTCTCTTGTGGATTGCGAAAAAAAAATTAAAGTTTTGTTAGAAACGTTTCTCATGAAAAAACACTGATCAACGTTACATTTCCACCATCGAGTATCAGAAACAGTGTTCTCAATCTGAAAACAATGAATTTCCTACTAAATCATTTTGAAAGTGCACGTTTTTCCCGCCAGTAGAATTAAGCATTTTTCGAGCGATTTGAAAGAAAAATTAAAAGGTCGTTTTTATATCGGTCTTCATTAACAAAAATAATTCTTTTTAAAAGTTATTAATTTTTTTCTCGATATCGTCAAGCGTACTTATAGTTTTTTTTTTTGTACATTTCATCTCAATAAAGTAACATACTACTTTATCGAATTATCGATCGAGTAATTTAATTCCTCCATCTTGTCTAGAAGCTTTACGCGTATTAGTCGGTAACGTAGAATTCGAATGAAGTGTAACGGTTTTCGCGACTTTTCGAGTATAGGTTTCTTACAGATTTAATTTTATTGTCTCTTTTGTTTCATTTTATTATTAGAATTCGTAACGC